TATTTTAACTAAGTAAATGTTACTACGTAGCGTGATTATATTCGGTATCGATGGAAAAGTTAGTGAAATAAGCATGTCTGAATAAAAGAAAGTATAATAAGTATAACAATTCAACACAAGTTACCTATTTTATCAAAAATACTTGAAGCAATATAAATTTAAGATTCTTACTTTTTTTTTAAAAATCGTATACGAATGAGTTTTTATAAGTTTATATTCAATTTCCCATAGCTTTGAAAAAACCATCTACTTACAAAGTCGAAAAGTCCTCTTTAAAGAACTTTTCCTGTACGATTTCCAGTCTAAGAAGATACTGCACGAAACTTTAAAAGGAGTTTTACTATCAAAAAGTTTAATCACAGGAAAACAAAAACATTATTGTACAGCCAATACATCACTCGTTTTAATCAGAATCTAAAATGGTTTTAATATGAAATAAAAATAAGATTTTTAACTAGTATACGTTCAGGATGAATACAAATTCCAAGAAAAGAAAAACAGTTTTAATAATACGGAAATAAACATATTTAATGCACTGAAAAATCAGTATACAAGAGAACAAACATGTTTAATGATCAGAAAATATGTTTATATTATAATGTCAAATTTATAATTTGTATTTTAATAAATATCATGGATCAAAATACTTATTAAAAAATGTTGACGTTTATGTTTAATGGTTTAATTTAAACATTACTTTTACATATAAGGAAAAAGGAATTACTGGAAAAGTAGTTAAGGAATACTGAAATTATTCAGTAAAAATATAATCATCTTCAGTCATGAATCTAAATAATAGTATATACTTTTATTATTAACTGTTGAAAAATAGATTTAATACTTCTGAAAATAAAACATACTAATGGAATTTCAATATTTATGATGATACTTGTAGCTGCAATTAAATTTAATACAGAATTATTTACTTAAATTTTGTTTTTTAATAATAATATAATTTAAGTAGGTAGTTAAAAATAAAATACTCGAACACAAGATATCTATACACACGAGTATATATTATTTTCTGATTGAACTATTATAATTAAAAAAATCAAAATATGAATCCCATGATGGTAAGCGTTATTTTAATTGACACACTGTAACACATGTGTCATATTTAGAGGCGCATCTTTAAAATACTATATTATTATTAATACGCATATACTGCGCACAGTAATCAGAATAACTATTTCAACATCTTTCGTAAATCTTCTACGCGCTAGAGATTAATTGCTACTAACAAATATAGTATGAAATCCCACGTGATTTCACGACATTGTTCTCACGATTAGATGTTGTGGAACATATTTTATTAGTTTCTCCGATAAATTAACCTAAGAAGGATTTCAACTACCAAACCGTAAACACACCTGTCTAGAGGACAATTCAAATCGCTCTCGGAGGACTATACAATTAGCATTTGTAATTCATTCAAAGCTATCGGCAAAGTATACAATATTGCTTGTCTATATTCGTATTTCTTATAAAATGTGTTGAATCATCATAATAATACGTACGAAAGATATTGCAAAATCTGATCAGTAAAAATCAATAAAATAAACTCGAATGATTTACATATTACGTTTACAGATTTGTAATAAATGCGAATATAATATATGAATATGATTATAACATAATAAACGGAACAAGATATATCAACACATTATATTTATGAAATATATATGATATATATTTTAGTAACAAAATAAATTCAGGAAAAAAATATAAAAGTATTAATTAAAATAAGGTTGTATTTTCTAACATAATCACTGGTCAGTTTATCCCGAAAATATTTTTTGATGAGTTTAGTCATTAATATTCCATAACAATATTCTTCAGAATTTGATTTCGTGTGATATCTTTTTGATAATATTAAATTGACAATACCAGTTGCATTGGCCTTACAACAATTTTGCATACATTGAACACGTCTATACTATAGTCAAGGGTAGGTATAAAATTCAGGGGTAGCGATAGTTCAGTGTGCATAGAAAATGACAAAAATACTTGTGTTCTATCGAACACCCATTCTATATATGAGTTTTCGGTTACCCTATGAAAAGTGTTGGTAATTGTAGCTATTAGCATATTCAACATAAAATGATAGAAATAGTTTCAAACAACGAAAATAAAAATGTTCCAATGGCTGAAATAATAATTATTAGCCACAATTTCTTCATTGTTGTCATCGTTTATTGTTGTCTCGATTACCACCGATCGGGCGGTGAATGACGTCATGCAAAATATGTCCTAGAACAGGGTTTTCGAGGAGGAAAAAATGTGAATGAACGAGTCTTCTTGCGTGATTTTAGAGTTGGTGACCGGATTGATTTTCGTCATGCCGTTGTTGTACGCGTAAAATCTAAACAACTTGGCAGTGAAAGCCAAAACGATGATGCCAAATAGTATTGTGAAACGAGCAAAGTCAGTCGTCATTTTTCTTAGTGACACTTGCATAGGACCCAGAGCATAACTAAGCTGGCACAAGAATAACAATCGTAAGTATGACATGACAGTGGCCACAACAAGCAACCTTTTGGCGACCAGTCTCGTATCCAAGGGCTGCCAGTATTTGCATTCTAATGTTTCATATAGATCATTGTCTTCGGCTCGCAAATTTAAATTGATTGTCCATCAACAGACAAACGTCGTGAACAATATAGTTGCAGGCAATCATAAATATTCCACAACAAGGTGAAATACCTTTTGGATTCCTGAACTATTACCAGTTTTACTGCGTGAACTATAAACGAAAATACGTTAATAACGATTGCATTTTTAAAATTAAGTCCAATGAATCTTTCATAGATCCTGCCTTGTCCAGATTATTTTCATGTGTTAGAATTATCAGCAAAAAGGTATACGATTATAAATAGTTAATCATTCGGTTCACAGGTAGTATGTAGTGACGATCTTTCTTTGATAACGGTGATATCAAGCATATGAAATATATCATCGGTAGTAAAATCATCCGTAGGAGTATAATGAAAAAATCTTGTGCACTGCACTGGTATCGTCTCCATTCGAACCAATTATCAGACCATGATGTCTTCAGTGTTTTTTGTACGTAAGCGTGAGCCACAAAATATTTTTTTTTCTTTATGTCCATTGCTATTACTAGTCGGTGGGATGAAAAAGTGCTAAAAATAATATATCCTCTTGCCTGGTGAGTATTTGTTCCACTTCATTAGAAGACCGAAACAAACCAATCAATTGGACAGCAAACGTTCGGGTCTATAATTCAGCTGTTCATCGTCGGATTTAAATATTCGGTCCACGTTTCCGTGATTTTGCAGTATCTTGCTAAACTGGAATGCTGTGAAAATTGGTTTTTGTGACGGATTGGTGAGTGTTAGGAACACGGATAGTTTAAACTCAATTGCCCCAAGACCGTAATCGAGTTGAACCAACGACTTGCAGATCTACACACGTAAAATAAATACAATAAAATTATTAATGAATATAGTTAACCGAACTGACCTCTTTGGATAAATACTGTGGTTTATGAGGTAATGATTTTGTATGACTATATTTCAGCAACAGTCTCATAATTTTCACATGTTTACATTAAGTCACCAACATAAGAGGCGTGAGATGCTGTGAGAATTCAGTGGAACACTCGTATCCAATTAGACGTTTTTCCGGTTTTCCGATTGTAGAATATCGAGAAGTTTGACAGTAATAAAATACTGGTTTTCGCGAATAGCATGCATCAAAGAATCTCCAATTTCGAGCCCATGGCTGTATAACAATAGATCCACCATTTTCTCGCAATTGGCTTCCATGGCCAGATTCAAATCAGTCATTCCTTGGCAGTTCAAGTCAAAATTGTTGTGATTTTCTAATAGATCGCGAACTGACTGCATGTTAAACACTTTTATGTGATTTAAAAATTATCTTTGCGACAAATCCATTGATCGTTTGATCTTTCACTAGTGACTTTCAATATTATACCAGAATCGGTTACTGTTTCGTAAGCAGAATTTGTAATGTACATTTTCTGTGTATTATTATTCGTTGCTAATTGTAGTCGATTTGATTTGGTTTGTAACTTTTTTTTTTTTGAATCAAATTTTCAATGGTCGATTGTAAATAGTCCAAAAATTTGCTAACAACTTATAAATGACTACTTAGTAATATATCATGGCAAATAAACAAATCATTGTAATATTAAATTTACTGTACTTAATTCAACGTTCCACTAATAAGTTTCTGTATTAACATTCTCCTTCGCTTCCTATATACCTACCTGTCCAGTTGATATGGTTCAGTCGAAACACATTGGTCTATAAAAGTCTATAGTACTGCTTCTAATCAATGTTAGCTGAGTTGAAACAAATTTGTCACTGTAAAAGTAATTTCTTCGCTCAGTATTTTTAATACATGATCGTACTATTATGATTTTTAAATTGTTATCGAACTTTTAGATTTATTCCAGTTGCAATTGACCATAAAATAAACATAGCGAATTTAAAGTATTTCAATTGACTACAAATTAAACGACTTAAACGTAGTTATTTTAAAATGTGTTTCAATGTTAAACGAAATAAAATTTATGTTAGAAGTAAGTCGTAAAATTAAAACTCAAACTCGAGAAAAACTAAAAATGAAGCCAAAAATTGAATATAAATTCCTTGTAAATATTCAAAGATATGATTTATTGAAATGTAATATAATTTTGTTTAAGATTTTTAAAAATAAATAAAACAGAACTATAGAATATACCTATTTATTATATAAAAATAAAAAAATAAAGAAATAAAAATAAAATACTAATAATGATGAATATAATTATTTCTTTAACTTTTAATAAAAAAAAGTTAAGTATACGGAAAAAAAAATCTTAGTTAATATGAAAGTGGTAGATTACATTAAGTACATTATAACCGGATAATATTTTAATTTTGAAATGTATATTTTAAATATTTATTGTTAACATTTTTTATATCTTATTAATTAATCATTTATAGTTATAGATTTGTATTTTTATATGATTTCAGTGATAGTGACAGTAATTTTGTCCATTCTAACAGTGGTGCCTTTAATCATGTTCGTTGTTGGTAAGTTTTGTTTTATATTTTTTATAATATTAAATAAAATTAACTTTGTAAGAGCTGAATCTGTGGTTAACAATCACATTATGCTAACATTACATCAATTTGATATGCAAATACATCATTATAAATCTTAAGTTTATTCTATATTTGACTATGTATAAAAGAATTAGTCAATTTGAAATTTGAACTCTGTAATTTACGAATATTAAATATTTTGATTATTATTTGTTGACACAATAAAATCTTAAGAAAATTTACAGAAATCTTACGATTTATCAATTAAAATAATATCATACTAATGATGTTCTACATTATTTTTATCGTTACTTTTTATTGATAGGTATTTTAATATTTATAGAAATATTTATATAAATTATAATAATAAAAACAATCGTAAGTACTAATGAAACACATCTGAATTCTTTTTTTGATACAATAATATTGTTATATAATAGAATTCGGTTTTATCTCGAATTTAAATCATATTCAATGTTTCTTTAAATGTGGTGATATTGTTTTGTGTCATATATTTATAATATTGTTCTCGTATATGCTTATTTGTGAAAACTTTAGCAACATAATAAATTCATGACATTTTATAATATGTTTGCATAAACTTACTAAGTTATATCTACCGTTTGTAGTTTAAATTCTGAAGGTAAGAAAAAGTTATTATAAACTGCTTAAGTTTTTAATATTTATCGATGAACTTATACAATTCAAATATCTAGTTAATGGTTGTTTATATAGTATAATTTATATTATATGCGACGCACAGGCTACTGCTTAATTTACAATTTACTCTTAAGCGTTTACGCGTTTATAATTATACAAATACGGATTCATAGTTAGCAAATGTATATATAGATAAGTATAGCAGTTGTTTAATTCAGTCGATTTTAAAATTCTATACTTAAATAATTATTTGTGATTTTCTTAAGCAACATATATAACTCATAACCGGAAAAAGTTGAATTGTTAGTGCAATGCACAAAGCTGTATTATTAATATTTTTAATACGAAAACAGTAATAGCTCAACATGCTTAAAACATATTTCTAAAAGAGAAGTTTAATTAAAAAAAAAAAAAAAAAAAAAAAATTAATAAAAAAAATTAAAAACCACGTTAATAGGTTATAAAAATATATTATTTTTACGGTAATCATTATTACACGATATCCATAATACCATACGTGTAGTTGGTTTTCAAAATATTCCAAGCTGGACCATAATTCATAATCAAAAATTGCCAACCATTTTACTTCTTAAATAAATTAGAATTTTATTTTTAGTCATCTAAAAATTGATTATACTTTGTTCTTTAAGTGAGTTCTCTGCTTTGATTTGACGTATTTCATTTTTGAAAATGTCTGTTTACATAAGTAAGCGGAGTTAAATATTGAAATCATTTCACTAGCACATTTTTTCAGATTTGGAATAATATTGACATAATACTAGTAAACTTGGCGGCCCTGATTAAAAAATTTGATGGACTGTAGGTTGGAGACCCCTACTTTAAACTGTAAATTATATCAAAAATACGTAATGTACAATAAGAAATATACTATGAAGCTGAATATCAATTAGTTAAGACTAATTTTATAGAATTAATAAGTAAATGTCAATTGTTTTAAATAATAAAACCACCGTTAGTTTATATTTACATAAAATAATATCATCATAAAATGTTTTCTAAATGTTTACCTTTTCTTCGCTCGTATTTTGTTGGGTAATACTAAACCTCAAAGGGAAATTATTGATTTTCAGTTCCATTAAATCAAAAAACCTTTACTCATGATTTGTCGCACTGAACAATAATTATATGTGAAGACTTTGGATGAGGTTTATTCTTAATCGCATCATCAGCCGACATTTTAATCTTATTGATTAAAGTTAAGAGGGTTCAACAATTTAAAGTTAACGTGACGTTGACAAACAAAGACTAAGCGTCGAATAAAAATACCAAGATTTCTGACACTTTTATGGTTACGACTGTTATGGACAAAAACAACAAACTATATATATACCCACGGAGAGATGACTAATAATCGTTCTAAGTTTTATCGTTTATCGCATTGTCAGTGATCGCGCAACGGTAATGAAAGCACTTTTGTTTTGGATTTATGAACTTTTATGCTTCTTGATTTTGATATTTTTGACTTTGGTTGTCGTTTTAGCGATATCCGAACTACCTTCCATAATATAATATACTCGACAACAGTGATAGTGCTGACACAAATTCACGCACAATGACAACATTATTTACGTTTATAAATAACGTATTTTTCCGTTAAGAAACATTGTGCCGATCATAACATTGAACCAAGCATACGATCGAATGAATGGTGTATCGTACACTGTTACATTCGGTGAAATTATATTTTCCAAGTTTGTAGATTAATTACCGGATGCTTTCAATAATCAATTCAACATCAATAACTCCAACTCGCGGTAATGTCAGCTAAAAAACGATGACTCAAATGTTAAAAACACTTTATTTTTCCAAACGAAAGTATCCAGTGGTGCACAGAAGTAGTTTGATGAGAGCACATACAACAAACAAAAGTTAACCACCCGCTCACACATTTTTTTTTTTTTTATTTAAAAAAAAATCGTTCGTTTATATTGTTGTCTATGACTGTAATTAACTCTTAAAATTAAAATAATAATTAAGATACCTAAACTCAATTGCATATAGATATAATGTTTGTTATTTTTGCTTACCATACTCCATAATGTTTGGAATCCAAGTTATCCAACTATATACCCACCAACTCACCCATGCACACACTCCCACGAGAGCATATGCAGTTTTTTTTTACCAAGAGGTACAGGTAATCTGTATGGGCACCACTAAAAGTATCAAAGCGAAGTGTTGTCAATGATTTTTCAAAAACACACTCACCACATACACACACCCGATATGATCCGTATACGTATATGTTTAATAGAAATAGGCTGCATCACGTGTATAAAGTATGAATGCACATTAAAATGTCAAACTCGATACTCAAATTTAAATGTATAATTTTTCGTGTATAATTGTAATAATTTCTTTAGATATATCGTGACGATGTTTGATTTTTCTTGTTATATTCACTAAAATATAGAGTATTATGCTTTTTTTTACTGTTATTTTAACGATGAAACATCAGCTCGACGCCATTGGGTGGCAGTTGTAATTCTCGTCGTTGAAGAGAAATTCATTTAATCTTCTAGTGTAATATATTTTACCCTATAATGTACCACTCTAGCATTAGTGACTCGTCGTGTTTTCATTAAAAAGTTTTTCTAACCATTACAGTTTTATACCAATCCATTGTTGCCTCCGTATTGCAGCGGTTATGCTTTACTCTAACCTTACCTTATTTCCTTGCAACAGCAACAACTGAAATTCAATTGAATCTTTTATTACGTAACACTATAAATTCAGTAACTATACTATGCACGACTCATTTTCTCGATTTCTATTCTAAATTTATAATTCCTTATTTCTGAAAAATACGTTTGTTAATAATAATAACACGGAAATAAAAATTTTACGAACAATAATTGTTAAAAAACCGCTAATCCTTTAAGAAAATTAATTTCCGTTTTAAACGCATTTGTCAGTATTTTATTTTTTTGTTTACACAATTTTCCATTAACGCGACCAATTAATTTAAATTGCATTACCAATAGGTTAAGGAGTACCATACCAAACATTATACGAGTATATACTTACCATATAATATATAATTTATTTATCATTTGTTATTTTTTTATGGGTTATAATACAGAACAGCAAATAATAATTACTTTTTAATTTATCAATATAGTAATTATATAGATTACAAATTAATAATTATAAATTTAATATTAATAAATATTATATATTGTGGAAAAAGGAAACAAGTAGACAATAATCTTAAAATTGAATTTGGTCGATCATAATTTTCATCCGACGAACATAGCACTTAGCAAGTCCAAATTTTATACCACGTATCGTTTTTATTCAGTGTCTTAAGAGATTACCTTTGCAATATTTATCGTTCATTAATTATTTAAATACTCTAATTCTTAGTTATCATTTTTTTCTTTTCACTGATGACCTAAAAATTATGACCGAATAGGATATGGTGGCTTGCTGTATTTTAAAGCACAGTCACCGATTTGAACTTGTACCAATAATTAATACTAAAAATATTATATTACTTAATACTCTCTAGGTTTCAGATATTATACCGTTTAAAGTATTGAATTATGCGGTATTTAATGATCGAAAAAATCTTAAAATGAGTTTTATAATCTGTCATGAAAACATGAAAAAAAAAACAAATAAATAATTTAAAAAAATATTTTCATTGAATAATTAATTGGATCAGTTATAAAAAATGTAAACGACATCCAAGGAAAATTTCTTTAAATAATAAATATTTTTGATACATCTTTGAACTTAAATTTTCATTTAGTTTGTGATATTTACGTAAAGAATAAAATAAAAAAAAATAATAATAAAACAAAAAAAAAAATTAACATTAATATTAAACCACGAAGGTTTAAACTATAAAGCTAGTTCTCGTGAGTAATAAACAAAATATATGAAACCTGGCAGCCTTGTGCTAAGAGCGCAAATAAATACTCAAACATTACGATAAGAAACATGATGAATCAATGACAATTATTGTTAGCCACGTTCATCTGCATAGTAATATTTAATGTTGGACGTCAGTATCGTAGGCGTACAACCGCGAACACAGAGCCTCGTTGTTAGAAATACCGAAAACGAATAAAAAGTTTGACTCAGATCTTTAAATTTATATTACATGATTTTGTAACTACTTTTGTAATCGTTTGTTTACACAGTACATGTTATTGACATTTGTTACACTTATTCGGGCTGGTGAGAGACGGACTGAGAGAGTGCGTATTTGTGACGCCGAGAACGAACAGACCCTACAGTGGCGGTTTTTGAGAAGCCACAACGGGAGGGGGTGGGGGGTTGTGAAAATATTTTGCATATACTTACAATTTGCACACATATCCCATTTATTTTTTCCTATTACTTGATACACGAGAAGTAATTTTAAATTCTATATACATAATACCACAATGGCATAAAATAGAAATATAAGTATCGATAAAAAAATTAAAACAAAAATTTGTTTTTTATTCAAACTTAATTAATAATCAAACTTATATGAACAAACATTTTTGTGAACGATAAACATTTTTGACATAAAACTATCACCAAAACGATTTTTAGTAAACTCTTTGCTCATTCATATTTTTAGTTTTTACACGGCTCAAGTAGGGGTGGTCCACCTTTCACTTGAAATATTTCTTGTGAAGTATTTTAAAATTTAAAATTTCACTCTTCTTGAAATATTGAAAAATATTTTTTCTTCTTCAAAACGTGTTCGGTTATAGATGATTAGAAATATTATATTGATTATACACAGAAAATATTGATAATGAATTTCTTATCAGTTATAATTTATACGTATCAACCAAGGTTAACGAAATGCAGTGGAACCTCGATAACTCGAACCTCTATAAGTCGAATTTATTATTTTTTACTATTCATTGAAATTTTTCAATTAAATTTTTTTTTTTCTCTTGGCTTAATATAGACCGTTCAGGTCCTTCGCCGCAACCACCACTTCCCTCCATCTATCTCTAACCGTGGCTAGCTCTTCGCCGTTCAAGATTCCCAGCACATCCAAGTCTTTATGGACCCTATCTACCCATCTTTGTCTTGGGCGGCCGAGTGGTCTTTCGCTCTTCGGCTTCCAGTAGGTGACTTGACCAATTGTCTGCTCTCGGCCTCGCCATATATGCCCTGCCCAGCTTATCCTTTTGATTTTCATAGTAGCTATTATGTCCGAATCATCTAACATATTTATCACCTATTCATTCTTTCTTCGTTCATATTCTCCCGTGTTTTGGTTTCTTCTGGGGCCAAAAATTTGCCGTAACACCTTTCTTTCAAATCTTGCTAGGTTTTGCTCGACTGTTTTGGTCGTGGCCCACGTTTCACACGCATATAGCGCTATCGGACGTATCATTACTTTGTATAGGGTTAGTTTAGATTTGATTGAAACTAGTTTAGATTTTAATATTGTTTTTAGTCCAAAGAAGCACTTGTTAGCTGAGTTTATTCTGTTTTTTATTCCCTTGTGGTTATTGCCCGACACGATCAATTCCAGCCCTAGACACTTGAAATTTCCGACCAATTCAAATTCCATATTTCTTACTATCAAATTATTATGTGTATTATTTTTCCGTGACAATACCATGTACTTTTTTGTTTTTTCTTCGTTCACGGTCAAGCCCATTAGTTTGCTTTCGTCCATGAGAGATTCTGCCCATACTCTGTAGGTCGCTATCAGATTCGGACTGTAAAACTACGTCATCGGCGTATGCTATTAGTTTGACAGTCTTAGGTTCTTGCGATTTGACTCCTATACCTGTGTTTAATGCATTTATAACGACCTCCTCCGACGCAATGTTGAAGAGCGTTGGTGAACGTTTTCAATTAAATATTTGAAAAAAAATTAATTTCGTGAAGTGTTACCACCCTAATGATACTAAACGATCGCCGCCGTGCCCGTTTCGGGGCGCGCGCGCGCGCGTATGTTGCAGGTGTCCAGTTCGTGCGCGACTGCCCGCGGGAGCCGCATATACCGGTGTACATGATCGTGGGCGGCATATTCGGCACGATCAAGATGGTGTGGCTGCTGTGCCGGCAAGTGAAGTCGCTGCGGTACAACAGGCGCCGGCGGCCGGACATGGGCACGCGCGAGGACATGGTGTCGTCGATGGGCTCGCGGATCGCCGCCGTCGGGCTCACCGCGTTTCTGGCCGGCTGGTTCGCGCTCGGCAACTACTGGATCCTGTCCGTGTACTGGCCCGACTCGGAGCCGTCGTCGCTGTACGAGCCGAACGTGTGGTGCAACCGCACGCTGTACGTCACCAGCCTGGTACACCTGGTGCTGGTGTACGCGGCCGCTGCGGCCGTGCTCGCGGCCGTCGTGGCCGTGCTGGTGTTCCAGCAGTGCGCGCTCCGGTTCAAATAGCATACGGCCACCACCGCGGCGTGCGGGTGCGCGCACGGACACCATGGCGGCCGGCGCATGACCGTCACCAGCATAATGCCGTACAGCGCCATACACATCAGCGTCACCCGGCCCGCCGACGAATACCGATTCGGCCGCGACGTGGCCTTGTGATCGACTCGCCCGCACTAACCTCTTCCGCCACCACCCTCCGCCTTGCCGCTCTTCCGCAGTCGTCCCTTCGGAGAACGTTGGTTCCGGTTTGTGCGTCCGCTCCACCGCCGACCGGTTCAACTACCCTTCCCTCCACCCCCGGACACGGTTACCTTTTCACCAGGATCCGGAGACCGTCAAATATCATGCGCGATCGGTGCGCGAAGCTCCTATTCCGTCGCCCGTTCCCGGGACCTACCCCCGAACTATCATAAACGTTCCGAACAACAAACGCGCATGCGCGTTCGTGTCAATTGGATCATATCGCTAATGCTTCACTATACATTCCGTAGCTCGACCCAAAGATACGACTCACCCTTGTCCCCGGTTCGGTGTTCGATCGTTTTTGTTTTCATATCCAAACGCCTCTCTATCTTCCTTGTGTTTGACGGTCGTGCCGACGTCAGCGTCAAGTTCGACATATCTATTCGATTTCCAATCGCGCGTTTCACGCGGAACGCCGGTCCACGTCCTTACGTCGACCACACGCTTAAGTCATGCAATCGCATCGTGATCGATCGATCTCCGAAACGCCATACCGTATTGTTTTGCCCTTTGTTTTTTTGTTCAACAGGAAACACGATTTACCGTATTCGCCATGCAGGTAATGGTGTACCATCAGATTGCCGTAAATATAACAATACTCGTGTACACATGTATGCGTTTCGCGATGCATCCCACGCGCAATCTACATCGAATATCAACATTGTCAGGTAATCTATCAGTCAATATGATAACTTAGTGACAGTTCGAGATCCGTTGCGCATTAACACTGCACGGTAATACCGTTTTAAATATGCATTATCGGAACGAAGATTTAGGTATGCAAACAAAAACAGATGGTTTGATTGATAATTTTAATACTTAAAGAGCGTGCGATATGAATGTATAGAAAACGAGACGTGATAAAGATATCATTTAAAAATACATATTTTCTCAATAGTAAAACGAATATCACGTCTTTTTTTTTTTTTTTTTCGTCTTCTTCGTACATGTTAATATGAATAGGGAAAAGTTGACAAAAACTCTACTGTTACTCATTCACTGCCAAATAGATTCTTAAAGATGAATAAAATTAAAGACAAGACATATCGATCACAATTAACTCTCGGGCTATTTCTTCGTTTGTAATCGGAAAAATAAATATTTATCGATATTTTATTTCTTTCGTAATTAATTTAATAAAATTAAGCATTTTTAAGAATTACAAAATAGCGTTTACGTCAAACGAATGAAATTTATACGAAATTCATACGTGTTTTACCTGTAGAATATCGTACTGAAAAAAAAAAAACATGCAAATACAAGTAGTCTTAACCCTAGAAATAAAAGTTACGCGCGTCGTGCACATCATAATGAAGACTCGGTTGCAGACAAATGTTCGTGCGGCGAGACAAAAGACAATTTTGAAATTCTGAACCACAGTTTTACAAGTACGAATATATGTTTCGCCGTCGGTACTCGAGTCACTAATGGACTAAGTTCTTATTCCTATTCGAGTTTGATCGTCATTACAAAGTTATATAAATTTATATGTAGAATATCTCCAAGTGTGACCGTATTTATCTGTGAGATTGCGTGCAAGCAAATCTCCATTCATTAGTTTTCTCATTCGTCATGCTCCATTATCTTCATTACTGTTTTTTTTATTGTCTACATTCGCTTTTTATTCGTTGAGATCTTAAAGATCTTACCCATTTTTAAATCCTTGAGATTTCACTTGGAAGTTCGGTACGTAAAACGTGTCGAACGAACCAAAACACTAAAAAAACGTTGCATTACGTTTCAGCGTTATGCTGAAAATGACATTTCATATTTTTTCATATTGATTAATAACTTCATTATAATTACATTATATTACATTTTATATATTGGATTGTGGTATTAAATAAAATGGTTTAAATTTAAATTTTATTACTTTGAATGTAAATATAGGTAAAGATTATACTTATATTGAAGCAAGTATTATATTACTGTTATTATACATGGTTATATCATTAAATTCGATAAAGTATGATATGTGGGGCTGAGTTTCATTGATAATCAATCAAGAGTTTAGAGTTAGTGAAATATACGTAGGTACTAATACTTTAATTTCTTTACTTTTTTTTTCAAATTTGCTTAAAACCACAATATTTGGAAATTTAATTATCAGAAGTCAAATGTACGTTAATTTTCTTACAAATACTTAATAACAACTTTCAGGATAGCATAAAAATACTTCGATATAATTTTCAAAAAAAAATCATAAAATCGTAAAAATAATCAATTTTGCTCACAAAAAAAATAAAATAAAAAATTGTAAGCATAAGTTTTACATTCACGCTACGTATGTACGTAGTTGAAATAAGTAGTTTAAAAAATAATAATACTATAATCTAATCTCTATTTTAATTATTATTACACATTTTGAAGCTTTTTATATTGTCATATTAAATGTATCCATCTATGAATGGTGCGATCGTTGTGTCTGTGCACTTAAAATTGTAATATCGTATACTTCCCGAGGCTTTAATACTACTTAGAATTTATAATTATTGTTGTAATGTATATACATAAGCATTTAATATATTTATACGTGTATATGTGTTATGAATATATGTCTATGAATAAAAGTATATATCATGATAAATTAGAATGGGTTTCGAGTTGGTTATAAATTATTGTTATTACTTAAAATAAAACTACCCACATAACAAACGAGTATTTAATGTGTGTAAATGGTTATACAAAGGTTTAAATTATGAATCATCAATCGAGTTAATGTTAATCTAACTAAATTAATGATATTTAATTATATGTACTTCTTAATTATGGATTCAACTATACCTGGATAGATGATTGTTCGTAGATCGCATATTGAAGTAAGCAAATGTAGTATATATTTTTGTATAGATAATTTCAATTTGTCGTTAAATTTCAATTGGAAACCGTTTCCCATTTTTATTTTAACTTTCCGTACGACGCACTAAAACTATCCGAGTATAGAATTATTTTGTATTGCACTTAACATGTAGATTTTGAGAAAGTTTCAAAAACTAATTATAACTACACGTCATGCGTGATTTGAAGTAACGAAAGTATGCTATAATTAAAATTTATTATTCTGTCTTAAAATTAATCAAGCAGATGTATCAAAATTTATCTACGACGCATGTTGTGAAACGTTTTGGTTTTTGATTATGATTATTTTATTATTACTATGACTTTTTAACATTAACCTATGTGTAGCAGTCATACACCCAAAACCACAACCTTCAATTCCTACTCCTCAAAAACTCCCTTCGTGAACATTCTGTTTAAAATTAAACAAATTAAAACGTACATAGACTTCAATATTTTCAACACTAAAAATGTTGCTGTTAAACATTTTTTTTACATAAACATTTTTGCATATATCGTTCTAAAATTAAGATTTTTCTTAATGAAATTACCACGAGCACAAGTCTTCCGGGGAATAATATCTTGCATGCGCTATTGTCTCATAGTAATACTAATTTACGTTCCGTTTACGTTCGTTTTACTTAAAAAACTTCAATTAGCCTTTATTAACATAGATGTTTTTGATTATTTACCTACTACAAAATCATCACCATTGCATTTTATACTTTTTTTTTTTTTTTTTTTTTTTTTTTTTTATTTGAAATCAAAAAGATTACTGGGCCTCACTGAGAAAACTCGTGTGGAGGCCCAGGGTTATCAATTTACAATATTCTAAATTACTTACTAAATTAAATACTTGTATTAAATATTACAACAATGTCCGGTGTAAAGTAATAAAAACAGCTGTACATTCAATATGAAAACGTAGTGGCCAAAAGCTTTTTGAAAGGTCTTGGAATGACATGTACGTATTATTAAGTCGTTGCAGTTGGCACTCAAGTGCGTAAGTTACTGGTCTCGCGAATTATCGTCAACGAATTCAGTGTACACCATTCAAAAATATATTTTTTATCAAGTCTATCGGGGAATATGACTTTTATTTTTAATAAAGTAGAACAAGCTATTTACTACGACCGCGTAACTAATAAATAATAATGCATTCAAACGCCGGCAATCGATGTTTGGCCCTTTAAACGCTACTTAATAATATGAATATTATATTATTTGACCGTTACGACCACGACATATAGAATAAAGTTACGATGTAAGTCCTACTAAATATTTTTACTAAAGATGTATTAAAGCAAAACGAGGTACGAGCTGATATTTTCTAGATTCGCAAATTAATTCATAAAGTGTATTAGTTTTGTAGTTTTATAATAATTTCGTTTCAATTGGTTTCACAGAACATCACAAATGATTTATTTTATTTTTAGTTGAACGATTTTACCTTCTCAGTATTGATTTCGTTTTATCGAGTTCATTGTACGAGTAAAACTGTGTTGTTTGTAATATCTCACTGTTCCCAATAATTTATATTTATGTAAATATATGTATTCGGTTATAAAATTGTATTCGAAACGTAAATATTGAAATCAATTTCATGTACAAATATAAATATTGTATATTTTATCGATATTGAAATACATAACGCTCATTGCGAGGGAAAATTCATCAGTATTTTTATAATATTCAAAAATCTCGTTCGAACGTGTATTATTTTGTCAAACATTGTTTTACTCTATCTTAAATAAAATTGTTATCCTCGAAAGTTTTAGTTTTGGTAGTAAAATGTATAATTCAATTGTCCTACTACAGAAATGTCACGAATTGACAAGGGATATGGTCTGTAAATAAGAAGAAAAAAAAATAACATTAGAATTCAACCCACGAAGGAAAACTTTTGAAATCGACACTAATAGTATTGTGTAAATTTCCTCGTATCCCTGATCTAAACATTGACATTTTACAACCAGGCAATCCAATTTTACAAATATCTCGTTCATTCGTTAATACTTACTAAGTTTTTTATTTTTCGGAATTCCTCTGTCAAAAGCTTCTCGCCATCCATAAGATGTGACAATGATTTTATTTATTCGCTTTACTGATTTTAAAGTTTGCAATTAACTTTAACGCCTTTCTGGTGGTCATGGACACTAACAATGAATTATTGTTCGAATTTAATCGGTAAATCCTTCTGTTTTGTCGTCCTCCGGAATTTTATAGGTATCTTCAACTATTTGTTTCAATTTTCTCTCGAATGTTTCTTCTGCGGACACTTCTATTTTCACTTTACTCACTAATGTTATCAACCATTACAACCAATATTAGAAAATTAAAAACTACTTGATCAGAAACGTCAACATGGAAGTGAAAATATAAATTAAGATTTAAAGAGCCAAATTAACCAGTATTTATGATAAATAATGTTAATGAAACATGTATGATTGAATCATATAACTTTTAACTTATAGTAACTCGGTAAAATTAAAACTTATTGTATTAATGTTATAACAATTATTAATTACTATTATTTATCCTTTGATCTTCCTAAGACTAAAATAAAGTTGAAAATGCACTTGATTTAAAATTTTGTCTTTATTGACCATATTATGCGCTTATTATTTTTAGATTTTTATTGAAATTCTATACTTAGATATCTTAATTTTAAATATTTTTGTTTGTTGAACATAGAAAACATAATTTACATAATTATTTGATCTCTGGGACCAAAGTTGTAGATATTATATTTATTTAAATGGCGTTTATAGAAATATAATATTTTGTATAAAAATTCCTAGACCAATTTTATCCATATCATATTATAAAATATATATATATTTATATATATATATATATAAAAATAGGTATGCCACCAAAAAATACCTAGATTATTTTTTTAATCAATACTATTCTCCTGTGGTTCGTTTTTTCCATTTAACTTCTATATTATATTTTGTCATATAAGTAAATATTAAACATAAATATCAGTCATATTTATTTCAATATGATATTGTACTAAAACCACGTAAAGATATTATATAAAATATATTTTGTTTTCTTTCCGTTTATCTTCATAAAACATACATAATTTATTTCGTATATACATATATATAATATTGTATTATTTTATACACTCATAGTATAGGTTAATATTTCATAATACTCATTGTTCATGCATTTTATCTGTAATGAAATGACTATGTGATATTTTTACAAATTACACATAATATAATAAATGGATATTTTACATATTTTATTGGGTAACAATATTGTTTCAAGTAATTATTATAATTATTACTAAATTATCCTTTAAAAGTTCATTAAAATGAGAAATTATTACATATTATATTTAGTTATGTGATTTTTCTATAACTTTTTCATACCCATAAAACTTGTGGCCTTTTAACCTTTGTGTTGTGTATAACAATGTTAAAACATAATCTATGCTTATATCACACGATCAGAGTATAAAAAAAATTAAATGTTTATTATTTAAGTCATATCGATTTCATTTGAAATGCGACCGTAACCTAATTACTGCGGTTTCATATTATCACAATCATGTATATCGTCCAGATATACGAGTAAATATTTCCCTAAAAGCTTACACATTTTGAAGTGAAAAAAAACGTAATTATCACTGTCGCTACTGATATAGTTCAACTAAGCTGATTAAGGTTGAACACGTATTAATCTTGATTGCAAATCGTTCTCGAAAAGAATCTCCGGATATCGTATAATGAAAGATATTTTTAATATCTGATAGGGTTATTTGGGTACTGTTACCACTGATTAATGTTTCATAATAATTGAAAGTTTTTAAACATTAAATATATCAACGATTTAAAATGTTTCTGAACGTGATCTGAAAATCAAATCAAGATTAACTGATACGCTTAAAACTTTATTTTATATCTATTTCGATATCTCTTTAGGTTTCTAAATGTTGCAGTAGTACCATTGCTATACTATCCATGCGTGTTCATATTAAATTGTTTGCATACTGAGCGTGTAGATAAATACACGTAGTAAAACATATCCGATTGAGCGTTAGGAATAGTATTCGACTTGGCGAAAATTACAAAGTGAGTCAACATTTTGCCTACACACAGGACGTTATCAGTGACATTACGATTATTACGTCGGAGTATCGATGTTTACGTCAATGTTCGTCACAGTGTTTACCGTCGTTTTGCGACACAGATCGCTGCGAAAAATTTAAAATGTAGCGAGAGAATAAACGCTCCCCGGGAATTCTTGTCACGTACCGATCGGTACAGATACGATGTTATTGCGATTTCCCAAGCTAATGACAACGCGTGATCGAAAGTATCGTATTGTAAGATCATGATTCCGTCAAGGGTTTTCGGCATTCCAACTGACCTCTCTCCAGGACCGTTCAGAGAGGGGATGCAACGGGACCATTTCGCTTCAGGCCCCGTTGTTGGAATATGTTTTAGGGGGCCCCCCATAAAGTTTTGGTGTATAATAATTGATAATATAGCCTCGATTACACTGAGAAATTAAACACGCTGCGTGTTGACGATTAAAGTCGCGCGCGTATGAGCGTGTAGCGACTTGTCCGATTACATCGAACAATTAAGGCCGGGGTCATACTATGCGTTTTCTACCGCAGCGTTTTTATTGTTTTAAACGCGTGCGGTCACCGCATCAAACAGAACCATACATTTCTTCGATACCAATCATACTATGCGTTGCGTTGGACCGGTTGCCGCATTTGACAGAGCAGGTTCGGTCGAAAACGCTCAACCGCAATCATACGCGTTTTGGCTACATAGACGAAACACATTATTTTTAATGAAAGCTGTCATACTATGCGTTTTGACGCTCCAGTTTGGCACCAAAATAAATTTTTGTGTTGCTTATTCCCGCTGTGGCGCTGTTTTTTATCAAAGAACAATGATTATAGTTAGGAATTTGTTTTTAATTCATACCAATCTTTGTCTTGTATTTCTTAACAATAATTACAGCAATTTGATAAATAATGTAATAAAGTAAATAATATAACACGAGTTTTGAATAACTTTTTTTTTTTTTTTATTTTAAAGAAATTTACAATCTGTACATAAAAACAAAAACAATAATTAAATATGATAAATATTATGAATAAAAATGGCATGAATAGCATGGTTGGGTAAGAGGCCCATTGGCAACACCCTCATAATTTGTAATTTGGCAATTTATTATAATAGGTCACGAGACCAGTTCCTTTTTAAACGTCGTTTTGGGTTTCCAGGTAGAACGTGAGAGGACACATTTTTTTATAAGAGGATTTTTATGGGAGTCGAGTTTGGAATATATCAATTTTTTCTTCGAATAATAAGTTATGAAGTTCATGTTTGTGTTGAATGGCACCGTTTGCGTTCCAGAGTAAAATGTTTAATGAGGGATGGGATTGGGTGGAATTATTTATTTTTTTTTATTAAAAGTTTGTTGATAACCGTTGTGAGAAGTGAAATAAGTGGATTAATAATTAATTTAAAATCATCTAGGAATGAGGTGAGCTGTTTGGAAAAATAATTTGTGGTTTGTTCATGGATTTTTGTATTATTAAATTGACGAGAGGCATCTGCGTATGATTGAGTGTGAGGCTGATTATTAGTATTAATATTTTCATTTGAGGTGGTGCAATAGACCTCTTTAACAGGTATGGGATTATTGTTACTTAATAATTTAATATCAGATT